CTCACAGCCTCCACCTCTCAGCGCACCGACTGTCACATCTGCCCTGAAGCTGCCCTTGCCCACCAGCCCTTCAAGCTCCTCGAACCTGGCACGAACCGCTACGAGAAACTACAGAAAGTCTACAGCGACTTCCTCGTGCTCACCCAGACCAGCATCAACGGCGAAGAATACACCCTCACCTTTGTCGACGCTCACTCTCGCTTCGTCTAGGTGGCCAACGTCTCTCACAGGAGCAAGGCGTTCAACGTCTTCAAGGTTTGGCACGCCAACGCCGAAACTCAATCGGGCTGCACTCTCAAGATTTGGCAAACCGACTGCGCCGCCGAATTCAAGAGCGACAAGTTCGCGGACTACATGGCGGACAAAGGCGTTGCGCACAAGCTCTCCCTCCCTTACGCGCACCCCCAACAGGGCGTCGCGGAGCGCACCAACTGCACGCTCATGACGAAGGTCCGCGCCCTCCTGCAGCAGAGCGACGTCGACGCGAAGTACTGGCCCTACGCCATGCATCACGCCGTTCGCCTTCATAACCTGCTTAGCACCACCGCCAACACGGACAACCTCTCCCCTCACCTGAAATTCACGGGCAAGCAGGGAGACGTCTCCATGCTTCGCGTCTGGGGCTGCATGGTTCAATATCGACCACCAGCGGCAACCACAGGGAAGTTCGAACGTCGCGCGCGTTGGGGCGTGCACCTCGGCATAAGCCTCGACCACAACGCCTGGAACATCCTCGATCACGACATCTCCCAAGTGGTGGCAGCTCGTGACGTCATCTTCTACGAAGACCTCACGATCCACAAGTTCCAGTGCGACCGCCATGCCGACCGCACCAGGGGAGAAACTAACGTCGCGGATTACGACCGTCCCTCACGCAGCTTCTTCACTCCAGATGACGAAGCAGAAGCGGCTCTCGCGGACCAAGACCCTACGGACCCCCACCCCGGACCCCGCCCTTGGAGCGACGAGGACGATGACGAAGACAGCGCTCCCCTCGACTCCTCGCGGGATTCCCTCCTCAGCCCAACCCCCTCCAACGGCCATGGCTCGGACGATGATGTCGTGGAGGTCACGAGCGACCAACGCCACAGCCCAGGCATCTCCGGCCTGCATATCCTGGGACTGCACACAGCTGTCTCCCACCCACCCAAGGCGGTTGAACCCAAAACCCCTCGCCAAGCACTCACCGGCCCTCACGCGAAGGAATGGCGCGCTGCGATGGACGCCGAAGTTGCCGCACTCAAAGCACGAGACACGTGGGTCCTTGCCGATCGCGCAGCGCTGAAGGGGAGGCGCGTCCTCTCGGGGAAATGGGTCTTCCGCGTCAAGACCGCCGCCGATGGCACCATTGAACGCTTCAAAGCCCGCTGGGTCGTTCGCGGCTTCGATCAACGGCATGGCGTGGACTACGATCAAACCTTCGCTCCCGTCAGCCGCCACACCTCCGTCCGCATCCTCCTCGTCATCGCAGCTGCAAAACACCTCCCACTCCGCCAGATCGACGTCAAAAATGCCTTCCTCTACGCCCCCGTCGACGCACTCATCTTCGTCGAACAACCCCACACCTACGGCGATGGCGACAACCGCGTGTGTCAACTCCGCAAATCACTCTACGGCATCAAACAAGCCCCCCGCCTCTGGCAGCAACACCTTCACCAAATCCTTCTGGACATCGGCTTCACCCAGCTACCGCACGACCCGGGCATGTATCGCCTACACTACCGCGGAGACTACATCCTCCTCACGGCTTACGTGGATGACCTGCTCTACACCGGCACCAACAACGATCTCCTCGAATTTCGAAAAGAACCTCAGCAACCGCGTGCAAATCACCAGCAACAGCACCGTCACCCAATTTCTGGGACTCAACATCTCCTATTCTGCCGACGCCATCCACCTCTCCGCCGCCAAGTACGCCGACACACTCTCCACCAACTTCAACATCAAACCAGCCAACCTCTCAACTCCCTATCGCACACCGGCCACCACTGCAACCGTCATCACCAAACCACTCAGCCCCGTCGAACATCGCCTTTACCAGCAGCAACTCGGCTGCCTTCTCTTCGCCGCTGTGACGTGCAGGCCTGGCCTGTCCTACATCGCCAGCCAACTCGCTCAGTATGCCAAGCGGCCTGAAGGGGAGCACATGCTGGACTTACAGCGCGCCCTCCAATACTTCATCTCCACACCGCACATCGGACTCACCTATTCCACCCTCGCGACTCGCTCATTCAACCTCGTTGGATACGTGGACGCAGATCACGCCGCTGATCCTGAAAATCGACGATCCCGAACAGGCTTCCTCTTCCGCCTCGAGCCAACAGGACCCATTTCCTGGAATTCCCAGAAGCAGGAAATGGTGGCACTCTCCTCCGCAGAAGCCGAGTTCATTGCCGCCACGTCAGCCGTTCGCGAAGGACTCTACCTCCAGGAGCTGCTCCAAGAGGCGAAAATCGCGACGTCCGCAAGCTTCAAACTGCACTGCAACAACCAGAGCGCGATCAAGATCGCGAACAAACCTGGCTTCGTCAACCGCACAAAGCACATCGCACTCCGCTACTTCTTCGTGAAAGACGAAGTTGACAAAGGCAAAGTCATCTTGACTTACTGCCCCACCGGTGACATGGCAGCCGACTTCCTCACCAAGAAACTGCCACGTCAGCAGTACCATCACTGTGGAGCCATCTGCGGTATAACCAAGCGCGTCAAGACTTCGTCACTCCAGGAATGAAGGGGAGTGTTACGATATGGAATGATTGAACATTCCTAAAGTAACGAAACCTTAACGCGAAGATGACTGCAGCGAGGACGAAAATACCAAGCGTCAGGTTAGTTATCGAAGACGGTTGCAAGCAGGAAGAATTCGAAATGAAAAGTGCGGGAAAAGTTCAAACGGTTACCGAACCGCGTACGGTTACCGAGCCGCACGGTTACGGTCCTGCATCTAGATTAGCCCTAAGGGGAATGTACCCCCTCAGAGTACATGGCTAGCTAGGACCTTTCGTATTCCACTGTATTCCTATATAAACCCTTGTACCGCATTGTGTTAATCACTTCTGTCGAGATTCAAATCTCCTTCTACTGACAGAGTCCGTACCCGACATTACGCAAAGCTACACCCCGTGCGATCAACCTGAGACGATCCTATAAGACGGTTCAGATTGCATCACGCCTCACTTTGATCGTTCATATTCGTACTCGATAGTGCTAGTTTCTTTGTTACGAGCAGGAATGCACTGCACTAAACATATTCTATCGTAACATAAACTATAAGTGTTCCTCCCCCCTTAATATACGACCTCTGAGACTCTTTCGAAAGGGTTCTATATCCGGGAGAATATGGTTTTTTTTTTTTTTTTTTGGTCTTGATAGAGCAATCCTTGTTTGTTCTCTAAGGTGGACTTTTCAAGTTAGTACCCAGAATAGATGCTGGTGCTTCATACCCGCTAATGGCACGTGCGCGCTCTTACAGTCCCGGAACTCGTAAGTGCGTTCTCTGGTTGCAGAGTGATACCCTAGCTGCTGTATTTCAGGCATGGGGTCTTCTGCTCTTCTCCCGTCTCTTCCTCGCATGATGCTCTCTGCCCCAGTTATTCCCCTCCGCGCTTCATCGAGCCCGTTTTCTCGCGTTTCCCCGCTTGCCGTCTTTCATCCGCATTTTTCAGTCCCCAGTCGTCCGCTTCACGTTCCTCTGGGCCGTTATTTACCTTCCGTCCGCACCCTTCGCGTGGCATGCGAAGCGCGGGGGGAGGAGCGCGAAGGGCTAGATCAGGCAGCTGAGGATGAGGCCATAGAAGGGTCGAAGCCTTCCGGGTCCGACAACGAGGTCGTGACGGCGGTGTCGGGCGCCATGGCTCGGTCGTTTGGTGGCCCGCTCTGGTTCGCCGTGCTACTGTCGTCCATCCTGGTGTTTGGCGGCGGCTACGGCTACTTGCTGTACTCCAACGCCGATATCGCGGGCATCCCCATGCTCACAGGCCCACTTGAGAAGCAGCGTGTGGAATAGTAAGGGACACGTTTTCTTATTCACCGTGTCCACCCATTTCTTGTTTCCTTTCTCCTCCTTTTCTGACGCTTACTAGCACTTTTTGCCGAAAATGTTTCGCCAATCCTTCATTGTTCTTTCGCACATCCAAAATATAGTCATCGTTGACTCCCACTTCCACCACCCTTGCTCCGCCATATCAACTGTTACGCTATGTGTACGCAGGCATGTTGCCACAACATCAGGCAGCATCCTGCAGCATCACTTATAGTAGCTCGGATGGTGCAGATTGAGAGCATTTGAAGTCTAATGGGGGGCATTCCATCACCACTTGAACTATGGTGTCTTCATGCATGCAGAATGTATTTGTTAGAGCCCGCAGCCCAAATTTCGGATTGCGTGGATCGACCTTACCAGTCTCGAAGCACGAGCTGCTGAAAGTCCAATTGTGTTCCTCAAAAGTGTTAGTGAAAATTTGGGAAAAATGTACCATAACAACCCTAGCACCAAACACCCTGCTCAACTTTTGGTGACATCCCCCAATGCCCAACCCAAACCAAGGCTGACAATATGGTACAAGTATGATTGGTATGAAGCAAGTTTTACCATTTTGTCAACAAAGATCTATTCAGACTGAGTTTCGAAGTCGTGCAGTAGAACACCTGCTCTGTCCAAGAGCTGTGACAGTATGGTGGATGTCATCAGGGGGATTAGGGGAATGATCCATAAACAGCAAAACAGTATAAACAGCCAGCCATACCACACACGTCTGCCAGTTGGAAACGTGGCTTCTGTCAGCTCATCAAATGCTACATCATATAGTCACACAGGTCCCCTGCAGACTGGCTATGAGCACTACTGTGGACACTAACTGTTAACCCCGAAAGAACCAATACTAAGCTAGGTAATTTCTCGCAAGCCTACACAAACAGCAATCCTGACCACGTCTACATGGCCAGGAGACCGAAATAGCAGAAGTGCTGTGCCTGTAAATACAGCTCGGCCCCAACTGCTGTCACTCGCCCACATCCGCTGTCCAGCTCTGCTCCACAACCTCTCTAACCCGCCGAATGTACTCACGCCGATTTTCACTGTACAGACGAGCCGCCTCGGAATTGGCAGGAGAATTGGGATTCGGATCACACAGAAGAGACTGCAGCACAAACGGGGCAGAGGATGTAAACAAAAGAATGCAGAGTGCATAAGGTGGGAGACATAAAAATGCTAAAAGGTTGAGGGTAAGGTGGGAGACATGAAAATGTCAAGAGGTTTGAGGGTACGCAAAAGGAGGTTGGGTTATGCAAGCGCAGGACTAAGCATGAGGGTGAGGAAGGGGGTGAGGGGAACAGGGTGGAGATGGAGAGAGGGCACAAGAAACAGAAGGGAAAAGAGAGAGAGACGGGGAGCAGGAGAGCAGGGGAGGAGAGTGAGTAAGTGAGAGAGAGAGAGAGAGAGAGAGAGAGAGAGAGAGAGAGAGAATGAAAGGGTTATCACCAAACAAGCACAGCTAGGAGGGTAAACAGCAAAGGAGCAGAAAGGAAAGAAGACACTGGACAGCTCTCCCACTTGCACAGACAGGTCTGTATAAATTTGCCAGCCATGCAATGGGCCTCAGCAACTCACATGATGTAAAAAAAAAAAAAAAGGTTACACGTACAAAAACAGAAAATACATGCCTCCCCACAGGATGACAGCCAAAAATTAGAAGACCAGTTTGCAATGTAGCATGTAATTAGAATGACAATGCCCGTTCCAAGAATTTGCCACCCAAAAGAAAATAATGAAATTCATTATTAATGCATGTCACAAACACGAGAGTCATGAACAGGCAAAACACTAATGGGGCACCAGATACCTGAATGGAAGTCAGAATTGCTCCAACGTCGTAAATTGGACTCCAATGGTTTTGCAAAATGTCCAAACAAATGCTTCCATCCGCATACACTGCACTAGAAACAAGGGCATACGACAGCATAGAGATGAGACGTGCGCAGCAAATCAATAACAATCGCAGGTGGCGAGACTAATACTAAATGGAGCAAGAATAGGGACGAATGGAACAAGGAGAGAGAGAGAGAGAGAGAGAGAGAGAGAGAGAGAGAGAGAGAGAGAGAGAGAGAGAAAGAGAGAGAGAGAGGAAGGGGGAGGGAGGAAGAGGGGGAGGGTAAGGGGGAGCGGGGGGAGGAGAGGGAGGAGGGGAGGGAGGCCGAGGAAGGGGAAGGGGAGTGAGAGGGGGAAGGGGAAGGGGAAGGGGAGGGAGAGGGAGAGCGGAAGGGGGAGGGGAAGGGGGAGGGGGAGGGGGAGGGAGAGGGAGAGGGACAGGGAGAGCGGAAGGGGAGCGGAAGTGGGAGGGGGAGGGGGAGGGGGAGGGGGAGAGGGAGGAGGAGGGATAGAGATAGGGATAGGGAGAGGGAGAGGGAGAGGGTGCGGGAGGGAGAGGGAGGGAGAGGGAGAGGGAGAGGGAGAGAGAGAGAGAGAGAGAGAGAGAGAGAGAGAGAGAGAGAGAGAGGAGGGAGGGAGGGACAGAGGGAGATGGGTGGTTCCGCGAGAGGGAAGGCGGAATGTGTGACGAACCATTGGGATGAAACATCTTGGTGACGAACCGCACAACAGGGGGCTTATTGGGGTAGTCCTCGGAGAACTGAAGCGTCAGTTTGAACGTGCCTGCAGGGGGCGCGAGGTCCAAGGCGGCACTTATTCACCTTGTGCGCGGAGGTTCCATAAAACGGGACAACTACAAGATGCCTGTTTACTTGTACAAAAGGCAAGAGGTGGAGGTAAAGAACAGTGGCGATGAGGCGGTAGATATAGGCGAACAACGAAGGAGGAGATCATGCGGCCCACGCCATGAAGGACCACATACTAAATACACCCACACCCTCCCTTTATCCCCACACATGCGCGCGCTCTAATACGCCCATCCTGCGTGTACACACGGTTTCCAACGAAGTCCCCTGCTGAGCGTGCAGCTTACAGCGGTCAAGGCCAACCAACACGTCAAGCCTCAAGGCACTGGCTGCCACGCCACGGACACCTCGGCGTGGTGGGTGGGGACTACGCGAGTGAGGTCGGAGGACGGGGAGCGGACCACCGGGGCCAGGGCCCATGCATCAAGATCCGCTATACCCCGGGGGCAGCGGAAATTTCAACAGAGTGCAATCACATATTCGGCTTCCAAACCGCAATAGTTTGGAGGACAAACGAGGTTCGTCAAACAACGCCGTCGGAGGTTCCGTACTGATAGAACGCGATCGGAACAGAGTCCGAGCCAACAAGACGTGAACATCCATGTAAGTGGCAGGGCGAGAGGGCGATCCACATAAGGACGACAACGGCGCCTGATCAGGATGAAGGCACGATGGCAACTGCCTAAGAACACAAACAAATCCCCTCAACCATACCAGAACGGCGAAGGATGAGAATGCGTACCTCCGTCCCACGGTGTATCGTCCGGCCTGCGCGACAAGGCCCGGCGCCCTCCGCGTCCCAAGCAACGACAGGCCGCCACAGCATGCCGAGAGCAACCGAAATAGGCAAAAGGGGCCATCAATGTCCCACGCCATACACACGGCACACATATCAATCCCAGCACAGCGTGTGGTGAGGAACAAAAAGAAAAGAAGGGGATTGTAAATCAACCACATAGAACGAATGCACACAAACCAAAGGGCGAACGGGACTAATGAATCAACAAGGGAAGCTGCATAAAGTGGAAATACTAGACCCAGATCTTGAAACGGAAAAATTCTAGAACGAATCAGGTCGAGAACTTATTGGCCTTCTTAGTTATGCCGTTCGTCCTGTGCAACCCGTCCCATAACGCACCCGAATATCATCGCCGTCCACAGCATAATATTGTTGTCCTGCGGAGCACCAATAATTCCGCCTGGGGGATCATTCTGCAGCCGGCGGAAATCGCGCATCAACCGCTTCCGCGACGGCGTTGACATGCTGCACGCCGACAGCGAGAACACGTGCGCGAGCCAATGGTGCGTGCAGTGGGATGGAGCTACGAGAGGATAGTCTCGTGGATGTGGCAAGCCAGTGAGCAGCAGCAACGGAAAATTCCGTTTTCAACTCGAATCCTGCTGCTTCTCTGCCAGGAGACTAGCTAGGGTTGTCTCAAGTTAGGGTTCCATCTGCCTGCTCACCTCATGCCTTTCTTGCTTGTTGAGGTCTGTTGGGGAATTCCAGCAAGCAAAGCAAATCACATAGCAGGGGGAACTGGTTCCGCCTTTCCCCTTGCCCCACGCAACCTACCGTCGGATTCCTGCTCCTACGGTGTGGTTGTGGTGGCATGGCGGAAGCCCCGGACAAGAATCTCGCGGTGGTGTGGGAACCGTTGAGCAATTCAGGTTTGGCGAGACATCAACCAGCGCCACGAACCATCGCTTGCAGAAGGTTCGCGACGGCCAAGCGAGGCCACCTCCTCAAACGAGGAGGTTTGGATGTTACGGCGGTACACGTCCTTCTAGTGATGCGTAGCAACCCTATACATCTAGTTTCACGCTTTGGGGATATCAACTCATAGATGCGTTTTGGGTTGCTGTTACAAGTGCAATGAATCGAGGTAGCGAGAATTGCACTAAGTGTCAAACGAGTACAAAATGTGAGCAAAGGCACGAGCGAACATTTATACGCGAAACATGCAAACGGTAACGCTGTGCGTGCGAGCTAGCTAGTGCTAGGCTGGCATCGAGGCTCGGGCTAGTCCCGAAGCGTAGGCCGACACGGCCGGGCCAGCGGTGCATGGTTTGGTGAAACAGTGCACGCGAAGTCGGCGAAGCCCCGTTAGCAGTAACGGGCGAACAACGGTTGCTGCTGTACGGGATGTTGCAGGATGCGCTAAGGAATGTCGAGGAAATTCCTTACACTACCCCCCCCTCTCTCAAGAAGCCCCCTCCACTACGCGAGTGCGTGTATATCGCGGAAACCCCGGCTCCTCAGGTACACTTGCAGGGCAGGGTGGTTTTCAATGTTGGCCAGGGGCACCCAACTATCCTCAGTTGGCGTGCGGTCCTTCTAGCGAACGAGGAGCTCGATCCTCCTGATTCAAGTAGTGTGTCGAATCCGATGGCTCATAATCTTTTCGGGGTCAAAGATCGGCTCCGATGCAGGGCGAGTCATGGATGGCGGGCGGTGACGAGGCAGTTGGCTTGTGGTTTGGATGTAAGGGGGGAGTAGGCTGACGTGGAATGATGGGCTGATGTACCAGTCTGTCGGCAACAGTAAGTAGGCGGTAACTGGGGTGATCATATGGCTGATTTGGAAGGGTCCACACGCGGTCGTAATTTCGGCACGACGGGCAGTCTTAAGTTCTGTGTGTCGAGCAGTACGTAATCTCCTGACTAGTACGTGACTGGGCGGCGGTGGCGGTCAGCGTTGCGTTTAGTGATAGCGTTGGCCTTTTTAATTGCTTCGGCGGCTCTGGTGCGGGCAGCTTGCAGAATCTCGGCGAATTGCTGTGCACGTGACGCTGGGTTGTCCGGACTCGGCGTCATGGGCACTGTAGGGTTTTGCCCGTAGTTCAGATAGAACGGGGACTGCTGCGTCGTCGCTGACGTGGCGTTGTTGTAGCCGAACTCGATCGGCGGCAGCTGCTGTTCCCAAGTTGTCGGGTCGTCGCACGTGGCCCGAATCAACTGCTCCATCGCCTGATTGGTCCGCTCCGTTTGACCGTCGGTCTCGGGGTGGTACGATGAGCTGAACTGTAGCCTAGTCCCAAACTGCTCCCAAAGGTTCTTCAAGAAATTGCTGGTGAACTTCGTGTCGCGGTCGCTGATTATCGCGGCTGGTATCCCGTGTAGTCGAACGACTGCTGCGATGAACAGGCGAGTGGTTTCTTCGGTTGAGATCGATTTCTTGCACGCAGCGAAGTGAGCCATTTTTGTCAGTCTGTCCACGACGACCATTACCGCGTCGTTACCCCCAGTGTTCGAAGGTAACCCTGTGACGAAATCTATGGTAACCTGCTTCCAGGCGCGCTCGGGCGGTGGAATCGGCTGCAACTGACCCGCCTTTCGTTTTCGCGAGCTCTTCATCACCTGACATGTAGAACACGAGCCCACGTGGTGCTGTGCGTCGGTCAACAGCTCCGGCCAGTAGTAGTACCGCTGCAGTTGCTGTCGCGTTTTTTTACCCCAAAATATCCCGAGGTAATTCCGTCGTGTGCCTCCTGTAGTAGCAGTTCCCTCAGTAGTGAGTACGCGGGTACCCAGATGCGGTTGGTGCTTGTTTTTACGTAATAGACTCCTTTAGCTTCTGCCAGTTGCTGTGAATTTCCGGTCGTGAAAAATGGGTCGGTACTGTATCCGTGGGTGAATAGGCCTGTTAACAGCCGGTTAGTTTGGGCGAGTAGTATGGCGTGGAGTTGGGCTGTGGGGTGTGTGAGTGCGTCTGCGATATTTGATGCGCCTTTCTTGTACATGACTGTGTAGTGGAAGTTGGACTCCAGATAGTCCAACCAGCGGATTTGTCGCGGGTTGAGATTCGGTTGTGCGCGAAGGTACTGTAGTGATCGGTGGTCTGTCCATACTGTCACGTCTGCTCCCATGAGGTAACATCGCCACACCTTGAATGCGTGCACGATCGCCAGCATCTCGCGGTCGTGTATCGGATAGTTGCGTTCGGGCGGGTGAAGCTTGCGGGACTCGTACGCGATTGGCTGGAGGCCGTTCCCGAAATCCTGCAATAGTACTGCTCCCACGGCGATGTCGCTAGCGTCGGTGACGAGCTCGAACGGACGGTGCGGATCTACAATATGAAGCACGGGCGGCGAGCACAAAATTTGTTTGAGGACCGAGAAGGCAGCTTGCTCTTTCTCCCCCCACGTGTACTTAACCCCCTTCCTCAGCAGGTCGCTCAACGGGGCAGTCAATTTCGCCATGTCGGGGATGAACCAACGCATGTAGTTGACGAACCCCAAAAAGCTCTGCAACTCGGTCAAGTTTGTCGGCGCGTGCCACGCTTGAATTGTTGTGATCTTCTTCGGGTCTATTTCCACTCCTTCAGCTGAAATAATGTGTCCCAAAAACTCAAGTCTTTCCTGTAAAAACTCACTGTTAGAGGCTTTTGTCAGTAGACGGTTCTCAATCAGTATTTTAAAAACTTCTTCGATGTCCTGTAGGTGCTGTGCTCTGTTTGGGCTGTAAATCAGTATGTCGTCGAGGTACACGATGACGCACTTATCTATAAGCGGGCGGAAGGCTTCGTTCATGGTCATTTGTAAAGTGGCGGGGGCGTTGGTCAGTACGAAGGGCATGACGGTGTATTCGAAGGATCCGTAGCGTGTTCGGAAGGCTGTTTTCAGGCAGTCGGGTGGGTTGACTCGGGTCTGGTGGTAGCCTCCCCGAAGGTCGATTTTCGAGAAAACCCGGGCTGTTCGCAGTTGGTCGATCATTTCGTCGGCTCGTGGGATGGGGTAACGGGATTTGATGGTAACCGTGTTCAGTGCGCGGTAGTCGATGCACATGCGAAAGCCCCGGTCCTTTTTTGGTGTGAACAGTATCGGTGCTGCGAAGGGTGACGAACTCGGGCAAATAAACTCCTTCTCGAGCAAGTAATCCAGCTGCTTCCTCAGTTCGTCCAGTTCGGGTTGGGTCAGTCGGAACTGTCGCTGTAATGTTGGCCCTGCCCCCAGTTCTAATTCTATCCTGTGGTCGTGCGGTCGCTGGGGTGGCAGTCCCCTCGGCAGGTCATCCGGAAATATGCCACTGTACTGCTTCAGGAGTGCTGCCAGGTCATCCGGTACGTCGGCTGTCTACCGTAGTACCCTCCTTATTCGGCCGGGTGTGGTCGATTGCGTGTACCGGCACAATCACTCGGTGAGGGTCGGTTGGGCCGGGCGAGCGGCGTGACCTGTCAGTAGAAGGCCCGTCTGCTACTGACTCCCAGCGTTTCCCTGCTGCTTGGTCTGTTTTTGCTGCTCTACTTCCCCCTTTCCCTTAGCGTTTTCCGGGCATTCGCTCTTGCGGTGTCCTGGCCGATTGCACGCAAAGCAGCGCCCTTTGAACGGTGCGGCAGCGGCATTCGCGGCGACGGCATGTATCGTGGCGCCCTCGTTAGTCCCACAAGATCGATGTCCCCAGTTGATGCTTCCGTAGGACCCCGGTCTCGGTCAGCAAAAAAAGTCAAGTTTCTCCGCCATGGCAAGAATCTCCTGAAAGTCGGTGACACCGCGGAGCTGGATTTCCTGGGCGATGTCGTGCATCAGGCCGCCGATGTAGCGGTCGATGCGCTCGCCCTCGTGCATGTATCCCACTTGCTCGCACAGCGCCAGAAACCGCTAGTGTAGTTGTGAGAGTACGTCGCTTATGCCAGCCATGCATGCTTGTTTTTATTTCAGGGTTTAGGGTTTAGGGTTTAGGGTTTAGGGTTTAGGGTTTAGGGTTTAGGGTTTAGGGTTTAGGGTTTAGGGTTTAGGGTTTAGGGTTTAGGGTTTAGGGTTTAGGGTTTAGGGTTTAGGGTTTAGGGTTTAGGGTTTAGGGTTTAGGGTTTAGGGTTTAGGGTTTAGGGTTTAGGGTTTAGGGTTTAGGGTTTAGGGTTTAGGGTTTAGGGGTTTAGGGTTTAGGGGTTAGGGTTTAGGGTTTAGGGTTTAGGGTTTAGGGTTTAGGGTTTAGGGTTTAGGGTTTAGGGTTTAGGGTTTAGGGTTTAGGGTTTAGGGTTTAGGGTTTAGGGTTAGGGTTTAGGGTTTAGGGTTTAGGGTTTAGGGTTTAGGGTTTAGGGTTTAGGGTTTAGGGTTTAGGGTTTAGGGTTTAGGGTTTAGGGTTTAGGGTTTAGGGTTTAGGGTTTAGGGTTTAGGGTTTAGGGTTTAGGGTTTAGGGTTTAGGGTTTAGGGTTTTAGGGTTTAGGG